TTTGAATAGTAAACATGATACAAAAATTATTCATCATGCTCTCAAGTAATTAAAATAAAGGCCTTCTTTAAAAAAAAGTGAATTATTGTCGGAAAAAGCAGAAAATGTTTTTCTGTTTTTTCACGGGGTGTCTTCTTAGTAGAGTTCTCGAAAGAGCATGTGAAATTGTCACCCGTAAAAAAACAAGATTCCCAGAAAATTTGTTTGTCTGTGACCTTGTTGCTCTAATAATTTTGAGAAAAAAAAATATTCAAATTTACTTAATAAATCATGGTACTGTGATTAAAATACTCATAAACTTAGGCAATTGTTGTCTATCGCTGAGCGGTAGTTGATGTTGTTGCATGTTTTGACTTTAGCATCATAATTCATCCGGCAATTTTGAATATGTTTTTAACAACATGATTAGTACAGCGAGCTCTACATAATCTTACAGACGAAAACATCATCTGAGAATCTTATGTTTTTTTCCGGTTGAGTACTCATGGAAGTAATCATAAGACATATAGTTCATAAGTAATTTGTCGTTGGTAGGATAGGATAAGTGTCTGCAGAAAATTTCAGATTACCAAATATGCTATTTTTAACCTTTGTTTGTTGAATACCTGCCATTTGAATACATCTAACTGAATATCGACTTTTTCAGTGAAGAGACAATATTCGAAATATTATTTATTTAGATTACTTGTTAACTTAACAAAACCTCCATTGGTATGTTTCGATGGAAAACTACCAAAAGATGTAACATTAACAAACGTTTATTTAAAAATTGAAGGTCATTTACAAAAAACAAAAACTGTTTGTATAATAATAAGAATTTATTTGTTGATATAATTGTTAAATATATATATGTTTTTTTTTTAAGAATTTAGCAAATGAGAAACTCTTTGATTTTCTTGTTAATAAAGTTCAACCAGTACTTGATACGGTTTAGTTGATTTAATCTTTCGAATTTATAAATAATTATATAAGTGTTTTTATTTTTTTTGTTGTTTATTATTCAGAATTGGCTTGATCGATCAGATGAAGATGATTTCATTTTACATGCAGTTTTTACAGTTGTACGAAATATTCTTTCAATTAAATCTGAACGACAAATTTCAGAAGAAAGTGATATTAATGCACATGATCTTGTTCTATGGTAAGAAAGAAAATGATTGTATTAAATTGATTATTTTATTTTTAATTTAAATCTTTAAAGGTCAATTCATAAGAGTAATATGGAAAATTTGATATTATTTTGTGGTAATAAAGCTCAAGGTGACGAACGTATAATGAATATTCTTGAAATTATTGTTTTAATGTTACGAGAACAAGTATAGAAAAAGAATTTCCTTAGCTATTTAAAGATCCTTTTTTTTGTTTAATATAGTCTGCAGAAGAATTAGCTTATACAGGTGAACAACAAACAAAAAATCAACGAGAGAAGAATAATGAGTAAGTTATAACACTTTTTCGACTGTTACAAATAGGCAGATAAGTTCGTGGAAAAATAAAATGATGCAATAATTTATCTTGTCCCATAGATAAATTACTCAGGTGATTCGATCCGACTGTCGGATTACGTCGGATTATATCGGAAAAATTACCGGATTTTAACGGATCCGACGGGAACTCGTCGGAAGTTGTCGGCGTCCTAGCCACAGGATTCCGACAGGAGGTTCCGGATGTCGGAATAATCAGGATCCTGCGAAATTCCTGAAACTCCGACACTTTCCGACATCCAGAACCACTTGTCGGAATCCTGTGGTTAGGATTCCGACAAATTCCGGCGAATTTCTATCGGATTCGACAGGGTGAATTCGACCTGGGTAGCACAATACAGAAAAATAGAGTTCAATAAAATTTTAAAAATACTCAAAGGTTTTGAATTCATCGCGCTACTTTTTTTTCAGCTCTAATACTAGTGAATAGTATACAAGAGTAAAAGTCCTAAGACGATTTACGTGTCTATCAAGATTTGACAGCGCTTATCATATTTTGAAAATTTCCTCGAAAACTTCTTCCACCTAGAAATCACAAAATACTTCACATTGTATAAAGACTTACAGAATTTTTAAACTTAGTACATTAAGTGAAGAAAGTTTTAGAGCGAAATTCCAAAATATAGCTTTTCTGAAACCCTGGAGTCCGATAGGGGTCTCCAAACAATAGACGTGTTCAAAATCCAATACCTCTATCAAATCTTGATAGGAATCTGAATGATTTCAGGATTTTTTCCATAGAACACTCTGCAATATCCAAGGCAAAAAATCATTAAAATTGAAAGAAGAGATTTTCTATAGAGCTTTCATTATCAGTCAAACTCTTACAAGTTAGAACAAAAAAATTGAGCTCGAATTCCTTAGAACTTTAAAACTTTTATTAAGACCTATCATTAATAAGCATATGAAAATTGTAGTTTAATAGATAGCGATTATGATCCTTGAATCAATTGATCAATTAGACTAGTATTGATATACACTACTTGAAATTACTATCAATAAAAATAGAATATTATCATTATTGACTAGCATGAATTTCTTAAAACGTATTCTCGTTGTTTTTAACTATGATTTCTTTATCATCGAAATAATAATCGAATTATGTACTGATTGAAATTATGAAAATTATTTTTCTTTTTAGAGCACTCGATTTACTTTATGAACGTGAAGTAGCTGAAAAACAACAATTAAACAAATTAACAGCACGGTAAGAACTAAAAAACATATTCTTATAATAGTTATTTAGTTCTTCATATTCTAATAATAGTCGATCAGCATTTGGTGCTGCTACATATGTTATGTGTAATGCAAAAGGTATTGGAGAAAATCAACTTATTTGTCATCGGCCATTACAAAATCTTAATACAATGGAATTTGATCGAGAAAAACGTCGTTTTCGTCGACCAAAAAATCGTGCACCTGTTAAAAATGATTTAGATGATTCTCAACATCATCATTCAGCATTAGGCATTCGATTATTTCTTCGAGAATTTTGTTTAGCATTTTTAGATAATTGTTACAATATACTTATGCCTCGTGCAAGGGTACTTTTTATTTCTAATTCTCATATGTATACATACTTGCTTCCTAAAATTATTCGTCAAAATTTATTTTCGACTTTTTTTTGTCAACATTACTTAGAATCCAAATAGTGATTTATATAGAAAGTTCTATTTCCAACAAGCACCCAAGTCAATCAGTACGACTCATCATAATTTATTGCAATGTTACTATCAACAACCATTTTTGATGTTGTATTCCATCATACCTACGGCGGTATTACTTACTCTATAGTTACGGAGAAATACGATCGCGTTGACCCGTCGTATTTCACTGTAAAGGACCATATACAAATCGCATTTTTCGATCAGAGAAATTTTGAAGATAACAGTCATTACTAGTTTTCCAAGGATCAGATTTATAGGCAGTTGAAATCCAAATTTTTTTTTCTCTGACGATTTTGTTTAAATTATTTAGAATGATAGAGCGAACAACTTTTTTCAAAATGAAATGTCTTCTAGATCTGTACGACGCTTTTTGGCCGCGATACATCAACCTTACGGAAGGCACAATTTTTTTTTCCTGCTATTTCGTATCAAAACATGATTTTTGTGTCTTCAGTAAGATTGATGTACCTCAGTCGAAAAACGTCGTGAAAGATTGGAAAGCATTCAGTTTTGTAGAAAATTAGTTGCTCTATCATTTTGGATAATTTAAAAATAATTGCTGCAAAATGAAAAACTTAAATTTTGCCTTTTTAAAAGACGATTCCTTTGTACAATTAGTAATGAGTTTTATATTTGAAAATTCTTGTTCAAAATGGAAATGCTCTACACAAATCACTATTTAGATTGTTTTAAGTGTTGAGAAAAAGTCTGATCGGATAATTTTGGAAATCATTGTGTATATATAATTTTTTGATAAATTTTTTAATCTTAGGACATGATTATTAAATCAACATGTTTACTTAGTGATGAAACAAATTTTTTTTGGGCAATAAGATTTTTTACAGAATTTAATCGACATGCACATACTTCAATTGATCGTATAAGGTTTAGTTTTATAATATTTCATAAACGAAAATAAATATCTTTTATATAGTGAAACATTACAAATGAATACATTTCATTTACTTCATACAAAAATTGATTATTATAGAGAAATGATTAAAATCGATAAACCTGAAGCAAAACTTTGGGCAAAACGGTAGAAAATTTTCGGTTTTCTTTCTTTTTAAAAGAAAACCTTTTTCTAATTAAGATTACAAATTGGCTTTGGTGCTTTTAAAGAATATATTCTTTGTGTTAAATCAATGTTAACAAATCCTAATGAACTTATTGTTCGTGCTGCAATAATTATCAAAAGTAAAGAAATATTTCTACTAATATAAAAATCATTTTTTATTCTTTCTGCTCGTTCCGTTTTTCATAGATAATATTTTCTATATGCAAGAATATCGTGAACAAATTCATGTTTTACTTAAAGATTATGATAATACAAAAATGACTAAGTAGGAGAAAAATCTGTTTTCTTTCTTTTTTAGGCTATTCGAGTTTATTTAATAGTGTTTATCTTCATGATCTTATTGAAAGTACTCATGAATTTCTTAAAATGCTTGAAGAACATACATCAAAATTAAAACATGTTTTTGTTCAACGTCGTCGTACTGCTCGTAAATCAACAACAAAGAAAAATACAAAGAAGAAAAAGAATGAAAATGATGGTAAATGAATTATCAAAATAAAATGGAATATAAAAACATTTTTTTTCTTTTTGAGAAACAGATGAACCACCAAATGAACAATTAGAAGAAGAATGGCAAAACCAAATATCTGAACGATTATCATCTTTATTACAAGGTTTAGAAGAAGTTACTGTTAATAAATCAGATGTATGTCCATTTGATGCACTTTCTGAAGTTCCTATTGATGATCAAAGGTTTGAAAATTATCTTTTGTATAGATTTTTTAATTTTTAAACATTTAGTATAACGGCTGTTGCACGAATTCAACATGCATTACGAACAAATAAATTAGATGAAGCAATTGCATTATTTCGTGCTTCTCGGTAGAATTGTTTAATTAAATTAAAGAATGAAGTGTTCGTTTTTCATTTTTCTAGAGAAGTTTGGCCAACAGAGAAGACATTTGGTTATGAAGATATTGGAGCTGAAGAAGAATTTAATTTACTTCGAGAAATTTATATGACATCAAAAATGGATAGTAATGATGAAATATTTTCATTTCATTTCATATATATTCCTTTTTTAAATGCTTATTTAGATCTGTTACCAAAAAATACTGATGAAGATGATGAAAATAATGAAGAAGAACATGAAGAAGGACATGATGAAGGTATGAAATGGATATATCTCGAAATCTTTTTTCAATTATCTGTACGACTAAAACCGATGTGTTCTTTGTTCACATGATCTAAAGTAGATAATCCATTTGGAAATGAAGATTAAAGTAGGATTTAATCCATGATCTTCAGTAACGATGAAATCAATCAGAAGACTTAAAACATAAATGATTACAAGCAGACCTCTTCAAATGCTCCTTTTCTATTTTAAGAATATTTGTCTGCGAATCGTATGTAGTACTCTAGTAAAAATCCTAGAAGGATTTGGATTCTTATTGAAATTTGACTAGGCTATTGAATTTTAATTTGAAACGTTGTGCATATAGAAAAACTAATTACACTAATTTCTACAAAAGAATTTAGCAGTTTTAAACAAAGTCTGTTCCAAATATGAAGTTTTCAAAAAATGTATGTTATGTACATGATTCATGAAAAAGGGTCTACATTTTGAAAGTCTCATATCTCGACGAGACTCTGTTCATAACTTTTAAATTTTTTTCTGGAAATTAGTCTAGTTAAGTTCTCTACATGCACAAAGTTCTATGTTGTGATACACAGTAATAGATGTGTAAATATCTTTTGTTTTTCTGAGAGAAATACCGCTTCGATTTCAAATAACCTAATGAATAAATTTTATATTCAATGGAAACTTATCCAAAAAAATAGAATATCTGACTACAGCTGGTATTTTTTAGAATGATTATATATGACGAAATTAGAAAAGCTTTCCAAATCTAAAAAACAATTTTTTAGTTTTTTTTTAACTTTGCTTACAGAAATTACAGTAAGCATTCACAACTATATGATTTACATAACCAGAAAATGATAATATTTTATACCAAAAGAACGAATAGATTCATACGATGTCACGTTCACGAGAAAAATTTGGATAAAAGGAAAAATGAAGTGAAGATGAAAAGAATAGAAAAAATAGAAGAAAGCGACAGAAAGAGTAACAAACAAAATGTGACGCATTTCACCCAGATAAAAGTTCAAGGTATTGGACAAGCCAAAGATTGATGTCTTGTCGGCATATGTTTCATTTGTTACATTCGAAGGCAACCAATGTTAAAAGTGATCGTTTTTATTCAAATAAAATAGATTGTTGTAGAAAAAAAAAGCGAGATATCCAAGAGTTATATGTCAGTTCGTTCTATTTGCTCTTCTAATGATACCTCACTTATTATTTGAGGGACATCTACTGTGCAAGCAGAAATGGCAGCAATAAATCAGTCTCAATATGTTTTGAAATTTTATCAAGACTATTTCTTTGTAGATTTTTGGATAGAGAGGAATGCTTACAGTGAAAAACAATGAGCAAATATGGGTTCAAACTAGTGTTCTGTGGTAAAATCAACATAGTTGTGAAATAATGTAGATTTTATTGTCTTTCATGATAATATAAGCATGATGACCACTTATTCTTCAAATAATTTGTTTGAATAGTCTAGAGATATGCCAATGCCAATTCTAAATAGATTACCAACAAGATCTTGATGTCAAATCTTATTGTATGTATTATCGTAGTAAAAATAAACCATTAATATTGGAATATTAGCTATCCTAGTTGTTTTTTTTTACTTCTTGATAGATAGATAGTATTCTAATTGAAAGTAGCCAGCCTGAACGAAAACCGAACTGTTCAGTGTTTCATTTTTTTCTCCATAATAATTTTTTCAAAGAGTTTTGATACATAGTTAAAAATGAAATCGGTCATGTCTGAGTATAAAGAGATGCGTTAGATTGTAATTTTCTCCATGTAATTATTTTAGCTGACTTCCAATTGTTAGAGTATCTCCATTTGCTTAGTTAGATATTGAAGCAGTTTCAGTGAAAGTCGTTTAATTATAAAATTGAACACAATATCGAAACTAGTCGACTTTTTCGACTTCAATATTTGAGATATTCAGTTTCCATTTGAGTTTTAGACAAGCACTCCTACTATTTATTCGATTTACTTTTTGAAATTATTTTGTTTTTTTTCTTTTGATTATTTTTGTTTCTGACTTTTTTCACTTTCCTCAGCTTCCGGATAAAAGAAAGAGGCAGTGTGGATCAATATTCTTCTTTTTCTCTTTATTATGTAAGTCTAATTTTCAAGACATCAAGAAAGGACACGTCATTCACATACAACCCATCAGCATGCATTCTTCTATTCTGTTTCTTTACCCGAAACTCGTGTAACAATGTGTGAATAACTTTATACACTTTTCAATGTACATGGGGCAATATTTTATTGTTATCTAACATAATATCCTAACAAGTATTCATTACTGGCTAGTGATCACTAATGCCAACTTTCAGAATCTATCTTTTTGCTCAATCCTACATGTATAAACGTTAAATTGATGTTTCTATTCGAACGTTTTGAAGAATGTGATGACGTTAGAGTGTAACAAAGATTAGTGTTTTTGTTATCTATTCTTTCAAGCTTCTACCTGTTTTATCTGATAGTGTACAACCTCATTTGTTGATGAATACATTGAAATCACCAGTGATAATTTTTTTTTTCAGTGATCTATGGTTCTAATTCTTTTAAACTTTTGGCTTGACTCGCTAGACAGTAAATAGTAATCATTCTAATTGTTTCAAAGAATCCATTAACATCGACAATTATTGTGTTATACATTTGTTAAAAAAATATTTTCTAATGATTTGAAAATATTTTCTAAAGTAACTCCCGTGAATCATTCTACTAGAATTTCATCCACTAGTTTTGGATAGTTGGCCTAGAATTCTCATTGATGAAATTGTTTCATTGCTATTATTTTAGAATTAGATGTTTTACCAAGGAAAAGGACTTAACATGTGCTCTTAAAGTAGAAAACTATCACGTTGAGCACAAAGATATGTGCTTGAACATTCATGTATTCGACCGTTTTATATAACTGAAATACTAGCAACTTAATGTTAATAATGTGTTATATTCAGGAAGGTCTTTAGCAGTAAATCAAAATTCATTTGTTCTTCGTTGCAAGGAGTACGTAACAAACAGTAAAAGCAAAAGAATCGGGCATAAATTTCAGTCTCATCACAGTAGTCTTGATATATTTAAATTGTTGGAATCACTATTGATTATTTACTTCTAATTTTAATTTATTACGCCATTGACCGAGATACATTGTTTTTTGAAAATAATCTTCGGTTGTATTAGTTGGTGATGTAGCCGATAGTCAGGTCTTCAAGTAAACCGCTGGGTTATAATCAAATAAGAAACATGACATACGGTTTGAAATAGCACATGTCAAGTATTCAAATATAAGACGACGTTATTGCTCTTCTAATTATGATTGTGATTGATTGTTCGCTAAATTTACGAACTTTAGAGCCATTGATAAGATCGTTCAACCAGTAATCTTTCGTTGTCCAGTCGATAATGCATCTTGTTGTTTTATGTATGTTTGCTGCTATTTCCACTAAAATCTAAATTTTTTTAGATTTTTGAGTTGTAGATGACTCAGACAGAGCATTTAGATTCTGAGTGTATGTGATTACATCTTTTAAATTGTATATTTCTGTTGTTAGGATATTACCATTGGTTCTGTGTTAATTATTATATGTCATAGCTGTAATAGATGAGTTATTTGGCTGCAAATTTAACGACGTATGTTTCTTTTGACACCGATAATGACTGTTGATTCCCCTTCTCATTCAACTAAGAGGAGAAGGATGCTGTCAAGATAAGAATGTAAGCAAAAAGGCCGTGCGTCTGTTCTCGAGAAAGGAAAGAATAACAGTAGATTTGGTACTTTCAGTAGTAATCAATTACCAATACATTAAGTTATCAGTAATGTTTTTTTTTCATCTATTATACCTTATAGCAGTTTGTTTGCTGATTATTTTGGTTATCAAAGTTTATTTAATTCAATCCAAAAATAACAATACTGAGAACAAAATACTAAAAAACCTTAAGCATATTTAGAGCTATAACATTTTTACTATTCCTACAATGTCTGATAGACGAAAAACTTTTCTAATAAAGTTATATTTTTAGCAATACATTACCGATTATACTGATAAATCCCATATTCATAAGCTTTCATTTACTTTCAAATTTATTCTCTATGCTTTTTGAAATTTTCCGCAATACTACTTTGAAACTAAAATCTTACACATTCTGTATATTTTCTAGATGAACAAGAATCAATACATACAACTGAACGTGAAGAAGAATTCGACTTTAAAAGATTTATAATTCGGTAAGTGAAAATTAAACAATAAAAGTCTATGCTTTCTAAAAGATTATTACTAACTATCAGAATAGTCATAGGATTGATATAATTCAGCATAAATATTAAAAAAAAAATAAGCCTCTATCAACATTACATTCACATCCATCGACAAAAAAATTGTAATATGATCTAAAATAAATAGTAACCATAGCCTTGATAATTGTTATATAATTTGTTTATGTTTATATAAATATGATAGTTTGTGAAAGTAGATTATATATGACTTAGATTATCATCATAATGGATAATAAATTGAAAAATGATCAAATCTTTATATTTTAGTTTCGCACATTCAAGTATACTTTCGTCATATATTGATGTTCTTCGTACATATACAAGCAATACACCATATTTAAATCATTGTATAATTCGTATGTTTTATCGTGTATCAGTTGATTGTAATTATTCTGGTATACTTTTTCAAATGTCATTATTTCGTATCTTTCAAAAATTTCATCTTGATCCATTAGCAAAATTACAACAATTTTCTGTAAATTTAATTTCATGTCAATGAATTTTTTTATCTCAATGTTTTATTCTATAGGAATTATTACAATTTGGTACTTGGTTATTACGTAAATTTTTTGTATCTACACAAAAGAATCCATATATATATGCTGAATTACTTTTTTGGAAAGATCGAAGTCTTGTTGAAGATATGCTTGATGGATATCGTCAAATTACTCATACGAATGAAGGAGAAAAGTAAAAATTTTTGTTCTCCTTTGTTTTTAAATATTAGTTTATTTTTTTTTTATTTAGAAAAACTAAAGCAGGATCATGGTCAATTGAACATCAAATTGAATTACGAGATCTTTTTAGAAAAATTAAAGAAGAACAAGCAGAAAATATTGGTTTGTAGATAGAAATACTTTTTTTTTTGTGTATTTTACTTATTTGATAAACTATAGGACTTGAACAAACTGATATTGTTGATCGAATTATGTTGGAATTAACCGAAAAAACAAAAACAAGACGTCAAATAATAAAAGAATTAAAAAATCAAGGCCTAATTAAAAGTATTAAAGAACTTAAACTGTATGATCAATATTTTGTTTTTTTTTGGTATTATTTATATTTATAATGTTGTTATTTTCTTTTATTAGTAAAAAAGGAACAAATCGTCGATCAAAAAAAAAAGATTTTCTTGATAATTCAAAACTTGGTTCGGATTCAGATGTTTCAGATATAGACGATGATGATGAAAACGATGACAATGCTGATAATAATCGTTCTATTGAAAATAAATTAATTTCATCTGAACATGAACAAGATCAATCAAATGATTCAAATTCAAAATCTGATAATATTATATCAACAGAAATTCCTCCTAAAAACACTGCACAAGAAGTAGAAGAAGATAAAGAAGAAGAAGAAGAAGAAGAATCATTACCAATTCTAACAAAACAAAGTCGTAAATATGAATCTTCATCAATGTTCAATGATAATGATAATGATGATGATGATGATGATGATGATATATCTTCATCACGACCAATAAAAAAAGCACGTCGTCAGTTGGTGTCTTCAAGTGAAGACGATGATTAGTTTATTTTTCTGGACTTACTTTTTTTGCTCTTTCTTGTATATGACAATAAAACAATATCAATTATTATATCTATTTTTGTTTTGATATACTTTTATAGAAACTTTTCTCTATAATTAGTGAGATGATAACAAAAAATGTAAATAGTATCTGTCAATTATGAAAAAAACATGACCTATAGATACTTGGTCGTTTATCTGTTTTCTATATTAATTAAGTTATGCGAATATTATAGAGAAATATAAGAATAATAATGATATTTATCATATAATATCTAATACTTTCTAAATTTTCTTTCGTGTTTTCAATGTATGTAATTATAATTATACATATGTTGTCCGGTAAATATAAAGACAAGAAGAAAAAACAAATCGATCCGAATAAATATAGAACAGGCTAATCAGATAAGAGTCAGATGTCTGTTTTATTTGTCTCATACACCTGTTCGTGAAATATAAATTTACTATTATTAATATGTACAAAGTTTTCAATTTCGTATTACAACAATCCCATGTATGTGTTAAAAGATACGACATTGCGAAAGAAGTCTAATGATGCTACCATCAGTTTTACCCATAGTTTTTCTTCTTCTCTTTGTATATTAGAATCAATGTGATAATCATGCTCTCTTACTATGCTATAACTGGTCGTTGTACTGGTGGCTTGTAGTGGGAGGAAGGATGAGAGATGCATGGTGTACAGTAAGGAAGACAATATATATATATATATGTATACAGCGAAGAAATGCGGTATCTTCTCTTCTCTTCTTTCTCTATACTTCATATGTTTGATTATAAATGCATATACACGAGAAGAAAAAGAATTTCTTACTATGACTACAGACTACTGATATTTTATCTGCCCATGTTATTGTTGTTTTCTTTGTCTAAACTATTCACATACATGCCGTTTTCTTCCTTTACGGTTATTCTGTTCATTGCAGGTCGCCTCTCTCAGTGTTTTTCCTGGCGGTTGATGAGTGATCGTTAATAGAGAGAAAAAGAATTTTTGGTTCGTTCTAATAATATCGTGTAAGGAACACAGATACATCCATATACGATGGTGTTTCTTTTTTTTCTTGTAGTAGTTTTATTCATACAAAGAAAGAAGAAAAAAAACTTCTGTTACTTTTTGTTCCCTAAAGCTTGTCCTCTACTTTTGACACATATTCTGCCTACGCAAAAGATATTTCCGTATTCGAGACATTACGTATGTCTTGTACATATATGCCTACATAGAAGTTCGTATAACCTCGCGTGTATTAATCCACTCTTTTATTTTCTTATTAAGCGTTACTAGCAGAGCATTGACTCAGCTGAAAAATTCTCGAAGAAAGAAAAAGACACGAACAACTACAATACAAAGACAGTCTTGTGTTGTAAGTATAAGCATATGAATATTATAAATTCTCTATCCCTCTCTTTCTTTTTAGACGAAAAGGTTAAAAAAGTATACTTCAATTTGAAGTGGAATAATCTTTGTCATACTAGCATACACTTGACAGTAGTATAGTTCAAAAGTAGAAGATAGAAAGAAAGACAGATAATGTAATCTTTGCTAATTGCAAAAGCAAAAACCCCCCAAAAAAAGAGGTTTTATGTATATCAAATCATTATGCATCTGTATTAGATCAATTATCAATTGATAAATGTTAGTTTTGTTATATGTATATTGCCATTAGAAGACTATCTTTTCATGGTGAGAATAGTGCTTCATTGAACTTTTCGATGTTCGCCTTTTGTCCTTTGTTTTGTTTCCTTTCTTTGTCGACATATGAAAGATTATTACTGATACCACTCATCGAGTGGTCAGCACAATGCCATGTCTAAAGTCAAGAGAAAGAAAAGGAGAAGATCATCGATATGCTATCGGGCGATGAAATGTCGCTCATTATATATATTTACATATATATAGATAGATAGATAGATAGATTATATAGAAAGAAAACCTACACACTTGCGTATGTTATTCATAAGTTGTCCTAGCAGGAAAAGGGTAGATCGAATAAATAAATGGTTCAATTAAGTTGTTGTTCGTCTTATATAAAACAATAATCATGACAGACTGAGGATGACTAAGTTCGCCCACATATTTCGCCTCCTTTTTAAAGTCACCTTTGTGATTAAGAAACAACAACAAAAAAAAAACGGAGTGTGAATAAGTATTTTAATGCAAAACAGAAGGAAGAAAATGAATTGATTCGTTCTTTTATTCTATTACTAATAAACCTTATGAGTGTAAGAATAATTTAGATGCTTGGTCGTTCATTGAATTGATTATGTATATATATATAGAAGTTATTTTCAGATGCATTGCACACAAATTTAATCGTATAAATAACTACATTTTATTCTTCTCTATAGGGTAGTTAACATTTAATCATCAGTATGTATGTCTGTTATAGTTTAATCTAGTTTTTTTCGAGTCAATTACTATCTAATGTATCTATTAACAACGAGGCTTCAATTTTTTCTCGGAGGTGGTTTCTATTAAATTGATTTCTTTGATTGTGTTACTATAGTTATTCTCATAGAATAGAAAGAAATTTCTCTTTGTTCAATAATGATATAAAAGTAAAGAGATAGAATGAATTTTTTTTTTCATTGATCATCTTTCGATAAATAATGTCAGTGATATAAAAATCATAGTGGCATTTTTCTCTTAAATAAATGAATGTTTTTGTCTGTGTTTTAAGTCATTCTATTTTGTTTTTTATCAAAATATTTCATCGCGTGCACACATTTAATACAGGTGCCTCTCTTTTCTTTTTTTATTTCTTCTCCCTTTTGTGTATGTTAACTGTTTCATGAATAGAGGTTGGCGTTGGAGATTTTATTCTGTTCTTTCCTTTTATACTCACATAGGCACATACATACATATATATTTATATACGAATGAGAGACATACCGAAACTAATTTTTTCAAAAAAAAAATTTCATGTGTTCTGCTTTTTTTCTTTCTCATCTACTAGGTGAATCATATATATCTACGATTCGAAAACGTATAACCATCTAAACTACTACTACTACAGGTCGTCGTTAAAGAAGAAGAATAAGAAAGGAAAAAAAAATAACTTTTGAACAGAAAGAAAAAGGAAAAAAATGTCAACTATGTATAACCAGTCAGCAAACGGCTATTCAGGTGGAGGAGGAGGAGGCGGACCTGGCTACACTGAAAATCTTCAACACAACGAACAAAGTGAACATTTAGACGAAGACGAATTTGGACGTACCGAAGAAGGTAAATAAAGATATGAGAATACAATAAAAAAAGAAAAGAAAACTTCTTCATCTTATCTTAAGCTCTATGTTTTCTTTTTACTCTTGAATAATTTTTTTTTTTTAAAGAATTTTATGAAGATATGCAGCGAGAATTAGCTGATGATGCACCATGGAAGAGAATACAACAAAATACATTTACACGTTGGGCTAATGAACATTTAAAATTAGTTAATCGCCATATTGAAGATTTACAATCAGAATTAAGTGATGGTTTAAATTTAATTGCTTTAATTGAAGTTTTATCACAAAAAAAAGTTCCACGTCATAATAAACGACCCAATTTTCGTTCACAAAAATTAGAAAATGTATCTGTTGTATTAGACTTTCTTGAAAATACTGAACGTATACGTCTTGTTAATATTGGTAAGTAAGTTTATTTTACCTATTAGATACATATACACATATATAAATGTATGTGAGAGTGTAGTGAAGAGATTTCTTGAGAGCATAGAAATGTACTTAAGACAAGTGCGTTAAGATTTTCGTCGGTTTTTTTTAAAAATATTTCGTTATGTTTCTATCTTATGATATTAAATAAGAATTTTTTACTCAGTTAATCATTCTTTATCAATATTGTCTAATTCGTTATCGAATATGTAAGAAAACAAAAGGTTTCATATTTCATTGAAGAAGTAAAATCGAAAAAAAAAGAAAGAAACGATACAACTGTTATGTATTGAGAATCGATGAAGCAATGAGCTGGAAAGAATAAAGATTTTTTTTTTTCTTTTGCTTGTTTAATTGAGGATGAATTGAGAAGATTTATTAGCAGATAGAAAATTAAACGAAAGTTAGTTTTCAATTGAACATCACTGAAATAAAACTGTACATAACAATTAATTTATCAAATTTCATATTATAGGTTTTTTTTTGTTTCAAATATCGAGTTATATTCCCTAATATTTGCTATAGATATGAATGATTCTTTAAGATTAGATTGACGTATCCTCAAGGCCTCAATGTCCATGAACTAAACGTCGAAGTGTACCTTGATATCGATTTCTTTTTGTTTCGGGCTCAATAAATGCTTAAAGATACGTCAACTAAATCTATTCAACACATTAATATATACCATAAATGTCATAGAATAAAGTTTACAATTCAATAATATATCTCAAAAAGAAAAAACGGAAACAGTATTTTAATCATTTGAATATAGATTGTTCTCATAAATTCTATTTCTATTGTCAAAATAAGAACTAGAGAAAAATTGTTCTATTCAAAAATGATTTATTCATATTTGTTTAACTTTCACAAAGTATATAAATATTTTAAAAAAATTTAGATGCTACACATATTGTTGACGGTAAATTAAAACTAATTCTTGGTTTAATATGGACATTAATTTTACATTATTCAATTTCATTACCTATGTGGGAATTCGAACAACCAGATGCACCTGGTTCAGGAAAAGATGCTACGCCAAAACAAAAACTTATGAATTGGATTCAAGAAAAATTACCACCAGAATTACCAATTACAAATTTTACATCTGATTGGAATGATGGTCGTGCTATTGGTGCACTCGTTGATGCATGTGCACCAGGTATTAAAAAAAATATATTTTCACTATCTTAAAAGAAAAAATACATCTTTTCCGGTTGTTTTGTTTTTTTTAATTAGGACTTTATCCGGATTGGAATGATCGTGATCCAAAGAATGCATTAGAAAATGCTCAAGAAGCTATGGATCTAGCTGAACATTGGTTAGGTGTACCACAA